GGCAGCGGCAGGGGTGATGCACCAGCAACAGATGCTAGGCTCCCAGGTTCGCATCCTTAGGCCAAGCTGAGCGCCTGAAGAAGGGAGAAGGAACCAGAGAAGGGCCCGGAAGGCGGGGACGGGAGGTGTGGAGATCCCCCCTAAAAGGCAGAAGCCCCCGCCCCCACCGGAGAGCTCCGCGCCTGCAGACCTCTGCCTGCCTGCCGCCGCCGCTGCAGGCGCCCGTCTCTCCCCAGCCATGCCAGCCCTGGCCGCGGGTCGGGGGAAGGTCCCCTTCTGCAACGCCACGGAGGAAAGCCGTGCGGGAGTCGAGGACTCGGAGAGCGGCGGCGGCCCGGAGAGGCCGGGCGCACGCGAGCAGCGGCAGAACATCGTTTGGAGGAACGTTGTCCTGATGAGCTTGCTCCACTTGGCCGCTGTGTACTCCCTGGTGCTCATCCCCAAAGCCAAGCTGCTCACACTGCTCTGGGGTAAGTCCCTCGGACGCCCCCTGTGCCTCGGGCACCGTGGCGAGGCCGCGCCGGAGCGCGCGGAGTCGCGGGTCTGTGGCGGCCGGTGCGGAGCCCCCTCTGCCCTCCTCTCGCCTTCCCCCAGCCGCCCGGCCCCTTGGCCTGCAGTTGCCCTCCCTTTGGGACCGGTAGGTCTTTCTGCCCAGATATTTTCCACTTCTGCCTCCCGTGCCGTCTGCCTGAGTGGGCGCATTTGTCCGCTCCCCGTGGAGAGCGAGAGCGACCCGGAGCCCTGCGGCGGCACCGCTGTGCGCAGCGAGGCGCGCGACGGGAGACGCTGGGCGCCCGCGAACCGCGCTTTGAGCGAGGCAGGGCGGGCGGGCCGATCGTGTCGCCGTGCGGGTCCCAGGGGCTCTGCTATCTGGCGCCTTTCAGCTTCTCAGCGTCCTCCGCGGGCCACGGACCTTGGGGCCGAATTAAAGTCAAGAAAGGAAGTGGAGGGGGGAGGAGAGACCTGGCTCAGGAACAGTCTTGATTTCGTTCACGGGATGGAAGAAACCAGTTCCCTTCCTAGCCCCTGCCAGGCCCCTGTTCCCTGCCCCTCCGTGATCTAACGTGCCCAGTTGCACTTCTGTGGTCCCAGAAGTTTCTTGGCGAGCACACGAGCTCACGTTGAGAGTGCTCAGCCCCCAGCACTAAGCTCTGACTGTGGCCGTGCAAAGCCCCCTCCAGGCCCTGTACCCCTCTGGCCAGTGCAGGCGGGTCTGTCGCCTCACCTGTGGCTCTCCGGCCACCCTCCTTCCTAGCACCCCCACCTCTGCCGGCGGGGGGGGGGG